GGAGGAGAGAGAAACTGTACAAGACCAGAGTGGGGTTCAGTGAACACAGTAGACCTGTTGTATGTCACCCCAGTCCCTGCCTGCCGCATTGCCCCTCTGATCCACCTCTCTTTACAGCTATAGACCTGAACCCCAATTACGTCCGGGCGATTCTCCGCAGGGCGGAGCTGTATGAGAAGACGGACAAGCTGGACGAGGCCCTAGAGGACTACAAGGCCGTTTTGGAGAAGGATCCCACAGTGCACCAGGCCAGGGAGGCCTGCATGGTGAGTCTGAGCAGCATCGCCTACCGATGTGTCCGCTGGTGTCCCAGGTACAGATTACCTTCTCCAGCTGTGTCTACTAACTAACCCCCCTCCCCCATTCACATGAATTTTCCTGAGGTCATGGTGGAGGGGGTGGTTTGATGTCAGATCCAGAAGTACTGTCTTCTGTGTCTGCTGTACATCTTTTCCCACTGGTCTGGAGAGAGAGCTAACTGTGTTGTCACACGGATCGTCCTGTGGAGATATACTCTTTTTCCGGCATTCTCAGCCAAGTGGTTGAAGCCAACGCCTGGCTTCCTTCACGAAACAGCTGGAAGAGATCCTCCAATCAGGGCGGGAGGTGCTTCTTTACGCAAAGGGTGGTGGGAGTGTGGAACAAGTTGTCAAGCCATGTTGGTGAAGCAGATACCCTGTTTTTTTTTTAATAAATAGCTGGATGAGATCCTTGGATCAGGACAGGAAATATCATAAGATTTATTGTCCCCTGAGGGAAATTTTTTATGGACACACTCCTGGACATTTAAATAGAATGCAAACTTCTTTACACAAAGGGAGGTGGGAGTGTGGAACAAGCTGCCCAGCTGGCCATGCTTTTGAAGCTGATATCCTGGCTTCTTTCAAGAAACAGCTAGAACAGATTTCTTGGATCATTTAGCCAATTATGATCAGAGGGGCCAGATGGTCTCCTGTCGTCTGTGATCTTTCTGATGGCCTCTTGTACTGTGAATGCCTGAGTGCCGTGCATTTGCATGTGAAATAATGAGTGCCTGCTTTTTCTCTCCTGTATCATAATACATGTCTTAATAGATGCTCTGTCTGTTCGTCCATTCAGAAATAGAAAGGGAAGAACTCGATGTGAGGGTGAAGGAGAACAAACAGGTGGCTAATTGTTTCTGCATCTTGTCAAAAACATCCAACCATCTCTCTATCCATTCTCTAACTGCTGAGTCCAAATTCAGGGTCGTGGGAGAGCTGGAGCCTGTCCTGCTAAGCAGTGGGCACAAAGCAAGATCCACTCTGGCAAGGACACCAGTCCATCACAGGGCACATACAGACACAGGCACACGCGCACACCAGAGCCAGTTTTCCCTGAAGCCAGTTAATCTGCCACCATGTGTTTGTACTGTGGGAGGAAACTGTGGGAGACCGAACAAACTCCACACAGACAGCACCCGTGGCCCCGGAATTCAACCCAGTGCCCCAGCACTGCACACCAGTAGTGAAGAAACAAACCTACGCAAACAATACACAGACCGATCGCTGAGTGTGTCGATACAAAACTGAGATGGTGCATGTGCCCAGCGAGCTGATCTTTTAGACACTTATTTGCCTGGTGAAGTTCCTGAACACCCAGCCCATCCAGTGGTAGTTGGGCAGTAGAGGGCGTATCTGATGTGAAGCATAGGGCACATCGTTTGCCTTGGCGATCTGCAATCTTCCTTGGAACGCGTGGGGGTCAGGAGTCCTGGCCCTTTCGCACTGAAACCTGGAAACGCGGAGGAGAAAGCAGGAGGAAAACCTTCTTATTTCATTCCTCCAGCTGGCACTTGCTGGAGGAATGAAAGTCCGAGAGGTCAGATCGGGATCAATGCGTCGTTGGCGGTTTCTGTCCACCATGTGGACTCTCTGAGCACGGTGTTTCTCAGACACCCGCGGTCTGCCCCTTTTCGCTTTGTTCCAGTATTCTGTTATAGATCGACCTGGGAGCTTATTGATCACCAGTAACTATCAATTAGCCCATACAGAAGCTGCCAGAAGGACAGCTAGAAGCACTGAGGGGAGGGCAGGGGAGTTCTCAGACCCCCCCACCCCCACCTTCCCCTGAAAGTGCCTGCAGTTTTGTGTCTTGGAAGGCTTGCCGGAGTAAAGCCTGAGATTACAGGATTGGCATTTCAAAAGCATCTCCGTACGTGTCTGGTGTACAAAGCAGGGTGGGGAGGGGTGGAGGAGCCTTGGCTTTTTATACTGCTGACTTTCAAACTTTTCAAGAGCTTCTCTCTTTTTTTTTTTGTCACGGTGCTGTACACTGCTCTGTGCATGCAAACCACAGCCGGCCTGCCTGACACGGACCGCGAGGGGGCCATCTTGTCGGGCGAGGAGGATCAGCAATAAAACAGCAGTGCCTGGATGGAGAGAGTGCTCAAGCAGGAAAACTGCATATTCTCTTCCATTGTGGACATATGAGCATGGCTGAGCAAAGTGTTCCACACTCCCACCGCCCTCTGTGTAAAGAAATGCCTCCTTTCCTGGCTGTTTCTTAAAATAATGCAGGCTTCAAACACATAGCAGAGGAGTTTTTTTCCCACACTCCCACCACCCTTGTGCCTCCTCGATTTTCTCACTTCTTGGTTTGGACCAGGAGATGAAGCAAGCAGCCTGCTAACAGTAACGCCAGTCTTGTGTCTCTCTTTTCTTCCATTCCCAAAGTACCAACCTTTCTCTAGCTGCAGTCCTCCTAAGATGTTCTCTAGGTGTGTTACAGCTGTGTCTGTAGGTGCCCAGCTCTGCTTTGCCAGAGGCTGCTTGAATCCACTCATTGCATCCATACTAATCAGGACTTACCGATTGGCAGATGGCTGAAGGATTAGGTTTAATTTAGATTCCCTTTGTGCAGAACGTTAGTGCTGTAGACTGAAGTACACGTTAAGTGTCAAACTGATTTGTATTTCAATTGAGAGTCGTACCCCCTCAGCCCGGTGTCCCCGGTCCCTTAAGCTGGACCTGGTCCTGTTCTGGTCTTGGTCACTGTCCCAGTATTGGTTCTGATCCCGGTCTGGGGTTTGATCTTTGTCCCGGTTCTGGTATTGGTCTTGGTCTCCTGAAGTCACTCCCTCCCTGTCTGTCTTCCCAGCGCCTGCCCGAGCAGATCACGGAGAGGAACGAGAAGCTGAAGGAGGAGATGATGGGTGAGTGCACCGGTTCTTCCTCTTTCTTTAGCATTTAGAAAGCTATTACAGGGGGTGACGCACAAAGACAAACACTCCAGTTCAACAACTGGAGAAAAGACAGTTGAATAAATAAAAGAAGAAGAGGTGAATGAAGCAGACGTTGGGATGTGTGTGGGGGGAGTGTGAGTGTGTGGGGGTTGGAGGTGAGTGTGAGTGTGTGTGGGAGTGTGTCAGTTTCTCTCTCCTCTCACCCGTCTCCAAGTGCAGATTTCTGTTTGCAGCAGCACAGCTATAAAAAGATCAGTTTGCTGTGCAGCGCCCTGAAAGGCTAATCAATCTGAACTCGAGACTCTCAGCCCATGTGAAGTAGCAGGAGCCAGTTGTGTGGTATTTAAAAGCCAGAAGTGCCTCTGGGGTGAACAACTGCTGCTTTTTAACATTTAATGTGCAGATAGACCTCCTGTGCCAAGAGCCGCTCTTGACCAGTTAGAGTCCACCTCCCTGCAGTGCGCTGAACATAGTTGCGCTCTGCATTAAAGGAGCCCCTTCACTTTAAACTCATTTGGATTTTAAGCATTTCACATGAAAAATGTTTGTGAGCCCCTTTGGAATGACCTGAATTTCTGCATGAATTAGACAAATGTGGTCTGATCTTCAACTAAGTCACAATAATAGACCAGCACAGTCTGCTTAAACTAATAACACACAAGCAATTGCACTTCTTCTTGTCAATATTGAACACACCGTTTAAACATTCACAGTCCAGGCAGGAAAGCGTATTTGAATCCCTGTATTTAGTAACTGGTAGAACCTCCACCAAACGTTTCCTGTAGCTGCTGATGAGACTTGCATGGTTAGGAGGAATTCTAGACCCTCCCTCCTTACAAAACTGTTTCAGATCATTGATATTTCTGGGATGCCTTGCTCGCCGTGATCGTTGCAGGACGCCCACTCCTAGGGAGTAGACAATTCCTCCATTTGTAGACAATTGTCTTACTGTGGATCGATGAACACCCAGGCCTTAAGAAATGCTTTTGTAGCGTTTTCCAGCTTTATGCATCTCTACAAATCTTCTTCTAAGGTCCTCTGATATGTCTTTTGTTCGGGGCATGGTTCACATGAACTGCTCTTCCTTGAGAAGAGCAGACTCTGTCAGTAACCACCCTTTGTGTACCTTTTTTAAAGGACAGGGCACCTGCAGCCCACACCTCCAATCTCATCTCATTGATTGGAACACCTGACCCCAGTTAGCTTTTGGAGAAGTCATTAGCCTAGAGGATCACATACTTTTTCCAGCCTGGACTGTGAATATTTAATCGATGTGTTCAGTACTGGCAAGAAGAAGTACAATTGTTTGTGTGTTCCTAGTTGAAGCAGATTTGTGTTTGTCTATAATTGAGACTTAGTTGAAGATCAGACCACATTTTTATGAGTAATGAATGCAGAAATCCAGGTAAGTCCAAAGGGTTCACAAACTTTTTCTTGCAACTGTGTAACAGAGGGTTTTTAGAATTGTTCTGGGTGCATAAATACAAAGAATGAAGCACGACTTGGGAGCATTGCGGAGCTCACTTTGTCAGGCTGCTGCAGTTACATAGCCTGGCAGAAATGTAAACCCTCCATTTCCGAAAAGACACCAGGAGAGTTTCCCCCACCCGTCTGTGGCCTTCAAATCGTCGACCCCGTTAGTCTTCTGTGCACAGACTGTGCTTCTCGTCACGCGGGTCTGTCCTTCTCAAGCTAGGAAGAGCAGATCTGCCAGAAGCAATACTTTGACACCCTGATGCAAACCTCACAGGGCCAGTTTCTGAAGGAGCGCGTCGCGCGCCGATCCGCGTAACTCCTCCTCTTGTTCTGATGGATGAGAAATCTCGCGAAAGGCACTGCTTCCATTCTGAGCTCCGTGGGTGTTAGAATTCCCAGTGCCGGGGGCTGGCTGGGGGCGGAGAGCTCTCGAGACACACTGGGATCGCGGCGCTGTGCTTTTTTTTTATCAGATTCACACCAGCTTCCTCTCCCCTGTCAGAACGTGTTGCTTTCTGACACTTCTGCTGCCAGCCCGAGAGAGACTTGTAAATGAGCTCAGGCGACAGCAGGCACCCACAGTACTACGCGAGGAGGGAAACCAGGCTGGGGAGGAGGGGGGACGTGATTTTCCAACCCTCATAGAGGGGAAGAGCAACCCGCGATGCACACCCCCGACAGGGGAGCAGCAGACACGCACCCCTCTTTGCCTGGCGTGTGACCAGTGCAGGGCCTGACTCAGAAGGTCAGGCAGAGAGCTGGTATAACTTTTGGAGGGGAATCACGTGTGCTTTTCGAGCAGTGGGGCTTTGCAGAAGTGAGGAGTAGTGCTGAGATCGTACAAAACAAAGCTGTGCCTGACTGCCTACCCCACTCTCTCTTTCTTCAGAGAGGCAACATCAAAACACTGCTCTGCTGTCTGAATGGAGCTGCAAATTACAGTGTGCGGCACCAGCTTTTATTTTTTCTGGGTTTTTTTGGCTGCTTAGCAACATTTCTTATCGATTTAACGGCTGCAGCCACACACTGCTGCTGTGGGCGAGATGTGATAAATACTTGTACAGAGGGAGTAACGCTCAGCAGCCCTAATTTGTATATTTTTCTCAACATTATTGTCTTGATAGTTTTGTCCCTAAGCCTCTGGGGTTTACCCCATCACCTGTGTTCCTGCTTCCTAAATTTGTGATTAAAATGGAGTCGCTGTTTCTCAGGGGGCAGAGGGGATGTTAGAAATGGAACAGGAACCATAGTTTTGCGCTTGTTAGCATGATTGTCCTCCTGGAAGAATTATTCTGTTTGTGTTCACATAGACAGGGAAGTTGCATCTGAGCTCCTGGAGAAGACAGACTAGAGGGCGGATTTAGCTCAGCTCCTGGAGAAGATAGACTAGAGGGGGGATGTAGCTGAGCTCCTGGAGAAGACAGACTAGAGGGCGGATTTAGCTGAGCTCCTGGAGAAGGTAGACTAGAGGGCGGATTTAGCTGAGCTCCTGGAGAAGACAGACTAGAGGGGGGATGTAGCTGAGCTCAGGGTTCAGCTCAGGCCAGCTGAATTAACAATACCCCTTCCTCACATGGCCGTGAGAGTACCTGCACTTGCAGAGAGCAGCCTGGGGTAAAGTATGTCCCTGAGGAGCTCAGCAGAGCTGACATGAGCATGTCTGCAAGAAACCGAAAGCAGAAAATCCCTGGTTAGAGAAAAAGAGTTTGTATGGCCGCGCAGACGCAGCTCATCCCTGTTCTCTCCCTCTCTGTCCTGCACAGGCAAACTCAAAGACCTGGGGAACTTGTTCCTGCGCCCCTTCGGCCTCTCCACAGAGAACTTCCAGGTCCAGCAGGACCCCGCCAGCGGATCCTACTCCATCAACTTTGTTCAGAACCCCAATAACAACAGATAGCATCGGGGGGTCCGGCTGCGTTGCACCCCGAACCCCAGTTCTCCAAACACCCCCATCCCAAAGACTCACCGCTGGACTGCCCCTATGGGCAGCGTCACATAGGTCCGCAGGGCCCGAACGCAGCGCCGACTGCACACAGTGTGTCTAACAGACTATCCCAGAGCTGGACACTGTTCACTGCTCTCAGAGCCGCCTGGAAGAGGAGTGTGTGAGTGTGTGTGCTTGTTTTAAGGTCAGGAGGTTCCACGAGAGGCCAATTGCATCCTAATTTTTTCAGCTGTTTTCTTTTTCCATTAATAAAGTACAGGAGCTGCAAAGTCCCTCACTTTTATACTCATGATTGTTGTGTGGACTGTCATCCCGTAGTGAGGAGAGTTGGAAATAAAGCACGCGTGTGTGTGGGTGGCAGTTCGATCCACTCCAGGTTTCAGAGAAGACAGGCAAGGAGGCTTGTTTTAAAACTTATTAGAATGGCAAAAGTGCAAAAAAATTTACTATTACTCATTTAAAAACACTTTTAACTCTTTTTAAGTACTAGCTTTTTAAATTTACAGAGTCAGGCAATTAGCATGAAGGAGCCAGTTAGTGATAAGCAACATGGATCAGATTGCTGTGCACTGGGAGTCAGACTGACAGCACTGTAAAGCCTGGAGTGGATCAGACTGCTGTACACTGGGAGTGTGACTGACAGCACTGTAAAGCCTGGAGTGGATCAGACTGCTGTACACTGGGAGTGTGACTAACAGCACTGTAAAGCCTGGAGTGGATCAGACTGCTGTGAACTGTAAAGCCAGTGTATTATCGGTCTTCTCCCACCCCGCCTACTGCGAGAGCACAGCACAACCATGCTCCAGATCCAACCTTTTGTAATCCAAGATCTGGAGAATACAAGTTCCAGCAGACACCCTGAGCCACCATAAATGTCTAGACAAGCGCAGAGTGCATATCTAACTGCACACGTGGTACGGCAATATTTTTAAGCACCGACCAAATGTAATGTTCTGTTGTCCAACTGCATGGGAAAAATCACCAAGTCTGCTAAATACTAAATTGGTTCCAGTCAGAGTCTACCATCTGCCCCGGTCTGCCTGAATTCCACACCCTTCACCAGCATTCCTCTGTTCCCTGAGAGCCCCGTCTCCTTTCAGTCACAGCCTGGGAGGGGCGTTGTTCCCTTCAATACCCCTTTGTGAAAGGTGCTCTGGGGAGCCTGTTTCTACCCCCTCGCCACTCGATCCCAGTAGGGTGTGGGCAGGGGGGGCTTAGCCCTGCGTCTCTGTGCTTGTGAGACACAGACCGACGTGGCTCGGTGCTCAGTGGAAATTAAGCTCAATGGCGACTCGGACTTGGAGCCAGAGAACGAGAGTGAGGAGTGAAGACCGAGCAACACAAATATAAGGACGCAAAGAAAGGAGAATTTATATATTTTTTTCATTTCTTTGGATTTTATTTTAAAAAGTTCAGTTTAGAACTAAAATCCAATAAAAGTTGGTGGGGACACAGCGCGGGGGTGGGCAGGCAAAGTCTCACCAGCTCTCCTCCGCTCCTCTGGGGAGAGAACGTGTTTCAGCCCCTCTGCGCAGGAAGCTGTTTTACCGCGGCCGAACCGTGCGATTCCTCGTCTGGCCATCGAGCCGTTCCCAGGGGGTCTGTCTGTCTTCGTTGGAACTCGAGGACAGCCAGCTGATTCCAGCCTGCGTTTTTCTCTTCAATGCTGTTATCTGCAGTGCCAGAGCAGCTCACAAAAGATAAAAGAAAATGAGGGAGAGAAAAAAACCATTCCTGGAGCTCTTTATTATTTTTTTACTCGAAGTTAACTTCCCGTGGCATGCGTGTCTGTGTGCGAGTGTGTAAATGCGAATCTGTGTGCGTGTGAGTGTGTATATTTGTGAGTTTGTGCGTGTGTGTGTGCTCTGTATGTGTTCCAGTGCCTTTACCTATTTCCAGTGTTCCACTCTGAGAAACAAACCTGCAATTTCAGCTGAGCTCCTAATGATTAAATTGATCTTTACTGGCCAAGTCCTTTGATAACTACACCCTCTTGTTTCCAGCACAGAAACGGGCAAAGCACTTCCTGGGCAGCACCAGCAGGGAGAGAGTAAGGTTATCTACACAGACTGACATCCTTCTGAGACTTAAACTCCAGCTCCAGGGCTCGAGTCATTGAGGGCCACAGGCCTGGGGTTCTCAGTATCTGGGAGTGGTAAATTAAAGAATTTACTGCAATAAACTAATTTAAAGATGGATGTGGACGGAAAATGAGGGGATCCCTTATGAGCTGTGGTGAGGAGACACAGTAGAGAGGTGACTGGAACAAAAAAGGAAAAAATTACCAAGAACTAGAAAATATCAACAAAAACAAAGAATCCTCTTTATTTAAGTAATTGAGAGAGAAGATTCATCAAACACAGTCTGGATGAAGCTTTAAACATGACTCACGCAGCAGTTTTTGATTTTTTTTGTTTTCATTGCAAGCTCACAAAATAAAGGAGACGAATCTAATGAAACAGTGGGGTCGATTTGCAGCTTAAATATTAAGCAAACTCAAAAGCCCAAAACAAAAAAAGCCCCAAAGCAATACAGTACTGTCAATTTTACTCTAAAAAATTTCCCTGACACAAACCTTCGATTTTACACTTTAACAAAAATTAAAAAAAACACACATAGAAAACCAGGAGAGGCTGTAGCACAGTTTAGAAAACACTGCTATTTTTTTCATCAGTATACTTACAAAAAATATCCCAGTGGAATCAAGGTGAACCAATTGAACTAGGAAAGTTCTATTTGCGTCTCAACTGCATGTCAAAAGGTGTCTTCAGAATGATACCTGAATTTAAAGACACTGCAGTTATGCCTCAATAAGCATATCCTACAGATTATTATGGGGCAAAGGTTCAGCTGTGGGGGGGGGTAAATATGCGAGTGTGTTGCTGTTATATCACAGTGCCTGTTTGTGAACATCGGGAAGGATACAGCCGAGGCTGGTGGGCTGGTTCTGTTCCTATAGACAGGACTGGAGTCCTGAGGACAACTACCTACCACCAGGACTGCACAGCGAGACCATGCAAACTCCACCCAGACAGGCACCCCCCACCCAGACTTGACCCCTGAAGCTGCAGGGCTAGCAGTGCTGCCAAGCAGTTCAAATCTACAATTACCAATTATGCCTTCAGGCGCAGAGCTCTTTTCATCCCACAGAAGCCCAGCATGCTTTGCAAACAGAAAGGAAGCCATGTCACCCCATGGATGTGCAGACCCACTTCTGGGGGATACCAGTCTGTGCCCATAGCCCCGCTACACAGCTGACTGAGGGAAGGAGAAGTTGATGAACAGTTTGATAACCCAGGTTTTCCACAGCAATGTGAAAGGTCTTTTAAACCAACCCACTGCCAATAAAGTGTCAGTGATTGCAACATAAAAAAACTACTGTTTTGACATGGAGAAAGCACTTGTAACTGTTGATTTTCTCACCTCAGGCTCACACAATGGGATTTGGGGCTGAAGGACAATTAAAGTCCATTCCTGAGCCCTGAAAAACCATTCAAATCACTGTGGAGATGAGATAAAACTGCTGGAGGTATGAATACAGCTGTCGAGATAATAACTTTTCGATTTAACAGTATACTTCAAGTCCTCGCCTTTTGCAAGACATTGGAAAAGAGTGCACAGCTGTTCCCAGAACTGGGAAAGTTTATAAAGTGGATTCTATAAAAAGTGGTTGGGGTGTTGAGCTGTTCTGATGGGTTAGGCAGGATGATTTTTCTGTTTTGTTTAAAAAAAAAAGCACAACTCTCATTTCTCCTTGTACCTGTGGCGAAGTGTCACATCACAAGTGAGGGCTCGCCTTAAATGCAGAGACCACTGAACGCCTCCTCTCAGTTTGATTTGTATCAAAGTCATCAACAGGAATACACCTCTTCAACAATGTTTTAACAAGAGCAGAACACATCAGACGACACTGCTACCGGAGTCTTTGGACCATTCGGGAGGTTCATCCATCCTAGTGCGTGTGTTTAACACAACAATTAAATAATAACAACAACTGAAGCCCATTGTACGTCACCAAATGAAACAGTTGCATAGACAATTTTCAGCCACATCATCTTGCTAATGAAGTTCCAACAACATTATTTAAAAAAAAACGAAGCGGCGGTGTACTGAGGCGTGAAAGCAACACGATCAGCTGAAGTCCGTGATTATAAATTATTTTTTCGATTAGGTTCTTTTTCTAAGAAAACAAAAAACGTCAAGGCACCACCTCCCACCCCTCGGCCCAACTTCTTCACCTCCAGCCTGTCCGACTGGAGATAGGCTCTGTTTTTGGTTATTCGGTACGATCTGCGACACTCGCCCTCCTGTCCGCCCCCGGGTTCCGTTCTGTTCCGAACCGGGAGCGGCTGCGACCGGGGACACTCGTACCGTCGACCTATGCGACAGACCTGGCGACGTGCACACACACACACTCACAGCTGCACAGGAACTCGAGTCCTGGTGCACAAGCAGACTTGAGCAGGGCGCTTTACAGATATATACATGCCAGTGTGCGCGCACATCAGGAAAGCAAATGGAAATAACCTTGCAACTTTACTGCTTTTACTTTCTGACCGATGACCCCCGCTATATATATATACTTTGAAACATGTGCAATTAAGACAGGCAAAACAAACCCATAAACGCGGCAACAGCGGAAGTCAGCCCTGTGCTTCGTTGACGTGAGCATAATTCTCTTTCCCTTCTAGCAGAGCAGAGACAGCGCCCCCTGCAGGGGAATGGTGGGCTAGTGCGCGACGGGACGGGTCTTGGGACACGTGAAAGGCCTCTGTCCCCGTCTGGCCGTCTCGATCGAAAGATTCCCTCCCCCACCACACTCGCTCACGGTCCTTCGTTTTATTGCCAAGTTGTTCCGTAATAAAACATCGTCTCTTTGCTGTCTGCGTCCGTCACTGGGACAGTCACCGGGAGGGGCGGATGCAGTAAAATTATCCAGGAAGTGAACATCGCGAGTCCTGAGCCCCTTACGCCACTCGGCCGTCTCCCAGCACTCGCTGCGCTCCTGACCTTTGACCTGTGAGGTCTGTCTTTCACCTGTCCCACACCGACGGGTCCAGATGAGGGGAATTCAGGGGGGAGGGGGGGGGGAGCGGGGTCCGTTTGGCTTCTGATGCGAAGATAAGGTGCGTGCTCCGGGATCCTGGACCGTCCCCCGCGGCGACCCCCCTCCCCGCCGCTGGCTCCCCACCAATGGCAGTGCTCGCGTGGACGGCGCGGACCAATCAGCAGCCCTTCAGTGTCGCGGCGCTGGAAGAGAGCAGAGAGGGGGGGGTCAGACCCGGGATGGGCGAGCAGAGGCCGACGCACGCCCCCCGCCGGCGGCTCCGCCCGAGAGATGAGCCTGTTCATTTCCTGCGGCTCTCGGGAGTTCAGTGCCTAGACCTGCAACTCGAGGACGTCCGCCCCGGCGTGAATACGGACAGGGTGCTACGAACACGGCACTGCTAGCAGGCCGACAGAGCAGCCTCCCAGCTCGGAAACCAGCGGATTGCTGCTCCACACCCCCTCACACACGCTCCCCAGTTACTTGCCCGCCCCACTGCCATTAAAGGCCACAGAGGTCACGACCCTTGATCTGTCCAGGGATGTGGGAGCTGGGGGGGAGGGGGTCAAACAGGGCCAAGCGACCCCAGATCTGCGTGCAGGTGTGCAGGCAGGTCAGAGGTCAATCACCCTCCTCCATCCACAAGCCCTCTGGCTCAGGCAGGCTTGCCGACTCCTCCACCTTCCAGAGGGGGAGCTCGAGACTCTTCAGAAACAGACCAAGCCGGGCGCTTCAAAAACCTGCCTCCAGCACAAGCCCAGCCCAGGGATGAATGCAGTGGCCACAGAGAAATGGACAGAGAGTTTTTACTGGAGATGTCGTGTCAGTTGTTTCTGCCTCGGCAACACTGCAATTCACCGGTCACGCCAAGAAAGCTCAAATTTGGAATTCGACAGTCCACTGGGCGCAAGCTACAGTTCCAGGGCAGCAGCTCACAGGCCTTATTTCTGTGGGAAACAAGACACCGAAAAACAGCCCCGTTCTTCCGACTCAGCTAAAACCTGGGTTGCGCTGACCACAAGATACCAAACCAAGAAAACTTTCCACTCCTCCTGTCCTCCAGCCAGACAATGCAATTTCAGCATAAAAGAAGAAATCACCCTGCAGGCATCAAAAACAGAGAAGTAGCAACTCATGGAGAGCTGTCAGCTAGCGCCGCTGAAGGCAAAGTAAAGGATTAGAATGAAATGATTAGAAACGTCTGAGTTTCCTCTGCAGAGCACAGGAACCTGGCTAACTCTGTTGGCCTCTTCTCGTGTGTTTATTCAGATTTAAGGTGGATCTTTCCTGGAAGGAAACGGCACCCTACGGATCCTCTTCTTTTGGTCTCCTCTGAGAGATAAGGAGGTGTCTTGCCTTGTTTTTGGCTGTCTACTACAGGGAGCTGCTGTTAGTGCTCCTCCCAAAACAGACAGGACCACAGAGCCCCTGCAGCCTTCCAGCTTTAATTTGTGTGCTTGGCGTATATCATATAGTATGGCAACTATACCAGCCCGTCCTGATTGCAAATAAACACAGCCAGGAGAGCCCTCTTGAAAGTCAAGGCTGATAGCAGGCAATGCAATAATCTGGTGCAAGTAGGTCCGCATGCGTAGACTGCAAAGGAACAGGTAGCGGGTTTATTCCATGCTGAAAAGAAAAGAAAGGAAACACAATGTTTCGGCAGTGGAGCCTTCTTCAGGTGTGAGGGAGCCTTCTTCACACCCGAAGAAGGCTCCACAGCCGAAACGTTGTGTTTTCTTTCTTTTCTTTTCAGCATGGAATAAACCCAATGCAATAATCTAGTCAGCTTTAGATCACCAAGGGCTGAAAGACACAAATCTTCATCCAGGTAGATAGGATTGCTTTCAGAAACTAGTCTTTCCTCTCACAGGTGAGCTCGCCCTCTCATCTGATGATAACAAGGAACTCAGCCTTCGGTCCCTAACATAACACCTCCCTCATAATTGAAAGAGAAGACAAACTCTGCAGGGCACACTGACGAAAGGAAACGCACACAAGAGCACAGAGAGCAGACAGCTCCTTCCATGTCTGCATAGCACACTAACTACATACCAGCTTCTGAGTGGCACACCCGGAGCTGAAGGAGAGGAAATTGCAGGGGGAAGAATACAGACGTCACACAGGTCATAGTTCCTGGGCCATGGAGATTCTCAGCAAAGGCCAGAGATGGGTCATCTCCCCCACAGTGCACTGCAGGACCCAAAGACTTCTCACACTGAGCTCCTACTCATCTATAACACAATATCTGCATCACGCACTGGTGTGTCATTTAGGAGATCCATATAGCTGCAAGAAATGGCTAGTTGGTAAATCTTGTTTTTCAAATGATTCTGAAATACAATGCTGGGAACTTTTGCAGGTTTTTTTTTTGGAAGAGGCCACTAGCATCCCACCTAGACTTGACTGCATATAAATTATGCATTAGACAGCACTTTGACTCTGAAGAGCTTTGTCAGGCCAAGTAAAATCAATGATCACAGCTCCCAGTGTGAGGGCGAACCGTGCTAAAAAAATGGAGTGTGTTTAAAATCAGAAGGCTTGGACTCCTCAAACAGATGGGGAGCTCAGTGCCTCACAGGGGGTGAAAGATTAAAGTGTTAAATCAGCAGAGTTGACCATCTCAGTTCTATGCAAAGTAATCTCAGTTCTCTGATGTCCAGCATGGAGCCAAATAACCAACAGCCTTCACACACTTTCTTTAGTCTCAGAAATGCCTTATTCAGCAATCCAGGTATTGTCCCTACCGAACATACTTCACATTTTCATAAGGTTGTTTCCTAACACACAGTGAAAAGATGTACGCGATTCAGGCACGTGTGCTATCTAAAATATATTTTCTGTGCAAAGAAGGTATTCTTCCATACAATTAATTATCCCACCAATCAGGCAGCAGCTCAGAAACACATGGTGTGTGCCGAACAAGGAATTCCAATTCGAGAAGCTTATGTGTTGGTTACGACAGTACAGCATCACCACTTTGGAAACAGGTGACAAGAGTTTGGGTCAGTCGATCATTCTTTTGGATTTTTTTAAAAACCTGGGACTCCCTGAACACATAAACCATTTCCTTTGTTAAAAAAGAAATAGGATAGGGAGCTCTTATAGGTCTAATTAACTTAGAAGGAACACTTTGTTCCAAAAGTTTTTGCAGGCTGAAGAGCTATAATTTTTGGAGGGGGAGATATTTTGTTGACTATAGCCCATCTCATACAGTAATCTATAGGTTCAGGGAAGAGTGATAAAGAACAAGAAGTGATGCTCTTGTTCATAGGGAAGAGTAACGAAGGACAAGAATAAAAGGATGCTCTTGTTCTCAGGGAAGAGTAATGAATAACAAGAAGTGACATCCTTGTTCTCAGGGAAGAGTAATGAATAATGAGGAGACGTGATGCTCTTGTTCTCAGGGAAGAATAATGAAGAACAAGGAGAAGTGATGCTCTTGTTCTCAGGGGAGAATAATGGAGAACACGAAGTGACGCCCTTGTTCTCAGGGAAGAGTAATGAAGAACAAGGAGAAGTGACATCCTTGTTCCCAGACTCTTGGTTATATCATCCATAACATTCAGATTCCAGTCCTGTGCCTCACAGGTGCAGGACGAGATGCCAAAAACATAAAACACATGAATGTGCTCTTCTCTGTCCAAAGGGACTGTGAGATAGAGGAACGGCTATAAATAGCTGAAACCTTGGCCACCATCTGTGTGCACAGGATTTTGCTACTGATGAAAGACTCCGGCACAAAAGCCATACTCTGACCATGGTGTGCACTTGCCTTTGTAACAGAGATTGTATCTAACAATGCAACTGTAGCCATTTTCCACCACACATCATTTATTCAAGGTCTTCGTTAGTGAGTTGTGAAGTGCAGGGCAAGTGCTCACAGGACTGCAGACTTTCCAACCTGGGCACCAGCAGAATTTTACTGCAGCGATGGAGCACAAGTTGTGCTGCCATGCGTCAAGAGTGCTGCAATCTCAGTGGAGGCGTGCGGACATGCAGCTGCGTTGCAATAGGATGAGAGTCCTGTAGCTGCCACCAGGGGGCAGCACACACTGGTCCCAACAGGGAGCCCAGTACCTACACATCCATGTTCTAACGGTTTCATCCAATACAGTTGGATGGGTCAAGGGGGAGCTGGAGCCTGCAAGGCGGGATACACCCTGGACAGGGCATCAGACCACCACGGGGCACGCACAGATACAAACACATGCACACACCAGAGCCAATTTTCCCAAAAGCCAATTAACCTACCAGCTTGTCTTGGGACTGTGAGAGGAAACTGAAGCACCCGGAGGAAACCCACACGAACACAGGGAGAACATACAAACTCCACACAGATCGCTCCCCAGGTCCAGGCTTGAACACCAGTGCTGTTAGGCAGCAATACTAACCACTGCACTGCCTGGAAGTCTAGTATTTCTTGGCCAAACAGAAGTCGCTGCCCAAGCTTTGCAGGCTGCCTGCTCTTCGAAGACTGAACCATGCTCAGAATGCATGGAACAGGAGTGAGGGACGGGAGCCAGGAACTACTTCAAGGGAAAATGAATGGGATGTTAAAAAATAATTCAGCAGCACTTAGGCTCACCACAAAAACGCCCCCTCTGGCGTGGAGGGCAGGACGCGTGTTCCTAATGTCCCAATCTCCAGGTCCCATTGGCACAGCAGCTGTCTGACTGCAGTCTCTGACCTAAAACCCCTTCCCTCTCCGGTTTCAGCTCTTGGAAGAGGGGTTTTGGGGAGTGGTCTCCCCCCAAATTCTCCTAACATTCATGGGCTTTGGTTGTTGATATAACTGGGCCTCAGGGGTTTCAGTGATGTCTCTTACTGAAAGTGTTTAAATATTTCTTGAAAATGTATAATCGCCTGCTATTCCGGCCCTCTAGCCACAAATGCCTGGTGTAGAGATTTTCACTCTGACAAACCTGTCCTTCGCAGTCCCAAAGAGCTTTTCGCTAGAGCGAACGACAAGCGTGACCTCCCACAACACAGTTCCCTGGCGCGTCTGCGTTCTGAGAATTTTAACACATCTCACTTGCCTGCTTATCTTGTTAACTGTGAAGCTCTTCTGAAGCACAGACGTGCAATGGGGCTTGAGTGATAGCAGCTGTAAGGCCTTTGTTTATTGTGGACGTGGCATTAATGAGCTGGAGGGCGGAGGGGGGGAGCTATCTGTGGAGGTTTGGAAGCAGAGGGGCAACTAGGGCTCCTTCTATTTACCCCAGGGTAATTAACATGAATAAACAATTGTGCTCTTTCAGAATTCAGTGCTCTGTTAGAGTAAACCCAAGTAATATTGTAAATTGAGGGACAGGTGTATTTTTAATTACATACCTATGGAAAATAGAGTACCCAGTTGCAGAGAGGAGCTCTGCACCCATAAGAAGGAGAACGAGGAATATAGTAATGAGACTTATCCTACCCTTTGAAATGCCATGACTTCCCAGACCCTTTGACACGTCATGACTGGAAGACAGCAGCATCCCTTATGGAGTCCGCAAGCCCTTGGGAAGCCACGGGGGAGGGAAGAGGGCGAGTCCGGCCCCAGGACATGCCCCACTGCTTGGAGGATCCTGGTCGCAGTCGGTCACAGTTGGCCAGTATTACAGTCGGCTAGCAGCACTGTCAGCTAGTGCCACAGCTGGCCGGTATCACAGTTGCTTTACAAACAGGTGGTCAGTGTCACAGTCAGCTAACGGTCCCTCAGCTAACACAGTCGGCCAATGTCGCACTTGGCCAGTCACAGTCGGCTAGCACCACAATCAGCCGGTGTCACAGTCCGCCAGTGACACAGCTACACAGCTAGCTAGCAACAGGTGGCCACTGTCAGTTGCCTAGCGACACATTGCCTTACAATGTGACCCAGTCAAGAACTGATCCCTTCTAGTGTTACGGGGATCACGATGTCGTAGTGCCACCCCAGCTCCCATTTCAAACTCTGAGCAACTAGCCATTCCCAGAGGGGTCTACAGTTCAATGCACTTTTGCCAGTGCAGAAACACAGGACCTATATCTCCTGCCATTGGAAATCCTCTGGGTTTCCATGCTTCAATGTCAATTTAAAAAAGGGGTGGCTTTAAAAAAGGGTCCTCAGCAGAGGCCACTTGAGTTCCAAACCGACAGCACTGATTACGCTCCAAAAGCTGAACAGTTCTAGACTAGTCTTCTTCCATCAGAGTGTCCTCAAACCTCACTGTGGAAAAAAAAAACTCACCCTGCATCAAGGTAGAAAACTCCCTTTGGTTCAACATCCTCTAGTGACACAAACTTCAAGGTACCAGGGCTGATTTGCTTGAGATATTTTTGGCGCCAGGTTTCTACGTGCAGTAGAAAAAGAATGAAGAAGGGAACAAAGCCACTGTCTACTGCGACTCGGCTGCACACCCTGCTCGTGCTCCGCACCCGAAGATTAAGTCCAGAACAATGTGAAAATCTTACTCCAGAATCACACCGAGGCCAATGTTCGAACAGGGAGGCCTTTTAAAAAAAAAAAAAAAAAGGGAGAAGAAATTCTGTTTGCAGGTGAGAGAATAAACTGTGCCAAGAATTCAAAACCACCAAACGACCCTCTCATCCAGTAACCCTCCATGCATCTAGTGAAGAGCAAAGCCTGCGTCTCCACGCCTCCTCAGATGCAGCTACGCTTTCCGAGCAATCGACCTTCCCCAGGGCAAGCAGGAAGCCTCAACTTTCTCCTCTCAGTTTGCTATGTCTGAAAAGGTGTCACGCCTCATCCAAACTCCCGACTGGGAGCGATTTTAGAACCGTTCGCCCAATGTTAAAAGGCATGGATCGGCTGCAACGAAGGCAGAGCCTTCTATATGCTTCAGATCAACACAGGATAAGTGTCCGGGACGCCCAACTGGACTAACGACCATTACCTAAGTAAATGGAGCTTTGTTCATTTATTCCTTCTTCTTTTTCTTAAAAAGAGACCAAAACAGTTGAGGGAATACAGGGGCAGAGGAAGAGGGGGAGGAAAAAAATGACAACTAGGTCAGATTCCTTGTAGTTAACATTTTATTTACATAATCTTTGTACATCAGAAAACATTTACACAAATAATGTCTTAACTTTTTTTTTTTCCTTGTTCAATATACAGCATTCTCTGATCTGCAAACAGATAAGGAAGGGAACATAAAAAATACAAAGCCAACCACCATTATAAATAGAATTGATTCTCACTGGGGTTGACAGTCACTCAGTGTGTTTCTACCAGCAAGATGTCCACTCCAGTGGGCCATGGCGAGAGTCTCTTTAAGGAGGAGGGGGTGAACCACAGGGGCAGCAGACAGCTTTGTTAACCAGTCCTAGAGCAGGCTGGGGGAGGCTGGGGTCTTGAGGACACAAGCTCTGCATTGCTTTTAGTTGTTCAAAAGACGAAAAATATCACAAGAACACCTTAGGAAGAGTTTAGGAACTAGCTGTTTTTTTTATGTTTCCAAAGGATTCGCCAAGGTCATTTCTTTGCTTTCATCTGCAGAGGATATACAGTAAATGGATGCCTGCAGTCTTAACAGATGAATGATACCTGCCTAACCCCGCCACCCCCACCCCCGCTGTGAAAACATGATTAGATAGTTGTCATTCTGCTAAAGACAAAAATAATCTCAGCACGTCACCTTGCAGCCATGTCACTTATCAAGTGCCTGTTGTTCCTTCAGAGAGAACACTGGATTGCTTTCACACAGCAGGAGAGTTTAAATGAGGATGGCTTGCACACAGCCTCACAGGACCTACCAGGGAAGTGGAAGATTGTTGCAGATACACAACATCTAGGTGGGAGGGGAACGCATTTTGAGGGAGCGACACTCGTAGCTTGTTTCCGGCCAACACCCCAGGGCACTTCATCGATCTGGCAGTCGATCTGGCCTGAAGAGACCGAAAACCTTCTCATCCAGGACCAACGAGACCACCTGCAGCCAGAGCCCTGCAGAACTGTCCTGCACGTCAGCGCGGCGGACTCTGATCTTGAATTAGCACCGATGCCGGAGTGGTCAGAGGACAGGCTGAGAAAGCTGATGCTTGGAGATTAACAGGAACATACAGAACCCCCCACATCCCGAGTGCACTAAAAAAAGCTCTGATTCTAACTGGCTACTCCAAAGCAGTACTGAAATAATCAACAGGGACTCCTATTTCAATACCCCTAACGGACAACTAAAGGTAAATAAATTACTTTCAGAAGACTACAGAAAACAGGGTGTAACGTTCCCTCCCCTCCATAGATTTGTAAAAACAGGAAAAAAAATCGGTACTCAAAATTAACTCCAGCATGTGTGAAAATTAAAATCAATTTTAAATGTGCACTGTGTTCTACCAAGCTCAGCTTCTGACAAAAGCCCTCTGTTGCACAAAAGTGACACATTCACCCTTGACAGCAGACACTGTCCCCGACAGTTCCAGCTTAGGCTGCCTCATCACACCTGCTCTCGTTCAGAGGTGCAGGCTGGGGAAGACGTTCAATGCTCGGATCATGACGTGCTGTGCACCGCGCTAGGGAGCGTTACGGCTACCTCTCCCTTAACAGCTGCAATAGGGCCCCTCCCCTCTCCGAATCCAACACACTCAAGCAAGAACACACCCCTGTGAGCAAGAAAAGAGAACTAAGAAAACGAATGTGATAATGAACAATTAACGATAGTAGTGAAAGGCAGAGAAATTGAGAGTAGTTCTTTCAACACCCTACTGTTCAATCTGAGATGTCAACAGGTTTGTAGGTGCTGCAAGAAACGTGGGATGCGATAAATATGATCAGAAAAATCACTCCAGCAGCAAAACTGACGTTCCATTCAACACGCAGCCCGATTCTCCGGGAAGAAAGAAGCATCAACAATCGTAGTGTGGTTTGCCTTGGACGGCGTTAATTGCACCATGAAATATTGCAGCAATGAAAAGAAAGGAAATATAAAGAGTGAAAAGAACCACTCCTGATTTTTGTTGACAAGATACGGTTGTTTAAAAAATAAATTACTTTTAGGGATCTTGGTGCCAGACAGAACACGGCACAGCAGCAGTTCTGAGGCCCCAAACCAACGGAGGCTCATGGTTTAGAGAAGAGTGCCCTGTTTTCGCACCATGTCGCAGAGATTTCACTTTGCTTTTGAGCCCGTAATGCATTCTCCTTAATTCGGGGGGGCCACACCTTCATCAGGGAGGTAAAAACGCAGATGACTCAGGTATGGCCAGGACATTTGGTCACACGCATGGCGTAACTACCCCAGGATGTCATGTCACACGCATGACATAACCACTCCAAGAGACAGCTGCTCTCCCTCTGTGGAAGTGCAGAGGAGGGGAAACAGCATGTTATGAGGCTGACAGAGAGAGGGAGGGAGAGCTCAGGGCTCACAAAGCACTCAAGCCGGATGTGCAGGTCAAGCCTGACCTTCCCCACTCATTTATCCTCTTCAGGGATCAGAGGAAAGCTGAAGGGGGCCCGAGGTGACTCTGGCTTAAGGGCTGAGCTATCTGGGCAGATCGCACTGGTGAGCGGGGACGTCAGTGCCACACTACTACTGATCCCCCTTTTCACCACCGCAGCACAAACCTTCGGCAACCCACCCTCACCACTGCTTCTCTAACCTCCAGCCTTCTCATTATGGATGAGTCAAAAAAACAGAGCTATCGTTCTGGCAGCAGCATGTTGCAGTTAGTTTCAATGACTCCCCTAAGTAACACCGATTGCCGCATTTATGCTAATTACGGCCCTGTCCCAGAATCTGGGCAGTTTGTTCTAACGGCATCCAGCTTACCTGATACCTGGAACAGCAGTAAATGTCAGCTACCTCCTCTACAAACACCACAAATTCTTAAAATACTGAGATACAAAAAACTCCTTTCAAGAAGCATCAACAGTCAATTTTCTGCAAGACAAGGAGTTCTGCGCTCTACCTGCCATTATTAAATAACCATAATGTAGGACACACTGCAAACAACATGAGAGCCCATCTCACGTGGAAAATCTGAGTCTTCGTTTTTTTCCTGGCTGGCTGAGCAAACGCTCTAGGATATAACTGAAGGATTTTTTTATGCTGCTGTCTAATCCAATCACTGGGAGTCAGAGGAGCCAGCTTAGGGCATTTGGACACGTGTTTTGTGGACAGGCGTTCAGACTGCCAAACTGCAGCCTTACTGAAGCACCAGTCATAAGCTAGCCCCTGCTTCTCTCCTCTCCTAGTTCAATCCCTCGCACATTCTGCACCTCAGGCCACAGAGTGACTCTGTGGCTGTATTATTTGGCGCTCTGGACTCCGGATCAAGCAGTCTAGAGTTTAAATCTTAGGTGGTGCGAACGTGGAACAAGCCGCCCAGCCATGGTGTTGAAGCCGATACCCTGGCTTCTTTCAGGAAACAGCTGGATAAGATCCTTGGACCAAACAGCTCTTAGCAGCCAAACAGGCCAGATGACAGGCCTGTCACCTGTAACTGTTCTGCAGGTCATCTTATTCTCTAAACTGTCCCTCAACTACCTGTATCAGAGACTCCCTTCATCAGTAACTACATCATGCATACTTATTCCTAATCACACCAATTTTTAATTCGATTTAGAGTAGGCCTGGTCTATGTGTTAACTACAGTAGCGATCCAGCCTACTTAAAATAATTCTCAATATAATCTGGATCTATGGAACCACTTGTGAGGGTCTAGCTGTAGTGGCTCAATCAAGATCACAACAGAGCAGAAGCTTTGCTTGATGTGGAGACGGTCAATCTGTACTTGATGAAGCATGTGGGCACTCTCTTAACTAACCCGACAAGCATCTTTTCATTAAGGCTCTCATTTTTTATAAAAGCTAGAAGGTGGCCCCCAACGGTCGCAGAATTGCGGTCCCTACGAGGGATCCGGAAAGAGCTCTGGAACTGAGGCACGAAAAAAACACCCATCTATCCATCCGCTAACCGTTTTATCCAGTGCAGGGTCACAGGGGAGCCGGAGCTTAACCCAGCAACGGCATGCAAGGCAGGATACATCCCGGATGATGCCAATCCATCACAGGGCACAGAAAGACACCGACCAGGACCTATTTTTCCCCCAGGAGCCAGTTAATCTACCAGTATGTCACGGACAGTAGGAGGAAACGGGAGCACCAGAAGGAATCCCACGCCAGCATAGGGAGGACATGCAAACTCCTCACGTATAGTATTCCTGGAATTGAACCCAGGGTGAAATGCTAACCACTACTTGAGAAAAATTATCTACACTGATAACTAATCCAATTATTTTCACCAATCAATGTAACATTTTTGGATGCCCTGCCCTGATTTTCCTTTGGATACTACTTTTACACCTTAGTTAAGATATTGCTCCATTAAGCTGTTTACAGACAGCGGTTAAATAATGTTTTAACCCTAAATGAATTAATTATACAGAGAAACTCTACTTATATGCAAACGGACTGAATGCTACTTCAGCTACGTCCTCTGGAAGCTGAGGAACAGAAGTCACCCTGGTCCTGCAGAGCCACAGACCAGCAGCTCTTCCAGACCGCACGTGAAACATCAACTCAGAAAGACGGGGGACACAAGCGAGTCTCCATCACTTGATTTGGCTCAATTATGTCAGGAAAGGCCAACTGCGGTCCCAGAGAGCTATGGGGTGTCAATATCTTCGTTTGAAACCATCTCTTAGAGCTCACCTTCTTAGAAAGCGCCCCAGGTGTGTGTAAAAATGGCTGACCTATGGCTGACGCACACAACTGGATGGACAGCGGCTCTCCGGGACCACAGCTGGGCACCACTGGGCTGCGGGACTTGGAACCAGCCAGCACGTGGAGTTTAAAGACACACGCCAGGAGGGCAAACCGAAAGCACGATCATTCAGGAGCTTCGCAACGAGAGACACCAAGGCGCAACACCGCTTGAACGGAGGGGACTTGACAAAGACAAGCGAATCTCACTTCATAACAAACGGGACCTCCTGCACCCCTGTCTGCAACCGCTAGCAAAAATGCTGCTGTAATGTGACTAGGTCTCTGCTCAGTCCTCATCTTCACTAGGTCCAAGGTCCCAGTTTCAGGTCTCGAGGGCATGTAGCCCCTGTTCCCTTCTAATTCTGGTTCAGGACAGCTACCCTGTGACCCGCATCCACACTGCTCTTCACTTTTCTAGCAAACACAGCTGAACACAGCTGAACACAGCTGAACACAGCTGAACACAGCGCTGCTTGGTCTGCAGTCAGCCGTCACTTAAAAACAGAAGAGGGGTTATGAGACGAGGAGGCCACCTGCCCACCTAACCCACGTGGTCATTAGCTGTTCAGTCCTCCAGCTGCTTCTTGAAAGAAGCCAGGGTTAAGGCTTCAACAACATGGCTGGGCAGCGTGTTCCATACACCCACCACTCTTTGGGTAACGGAGTGTCTACTGTTCTCGGTTTTAAATGCATTTCCCTTTCCTCTCCTCGGGACAAGCTCTTCAAGGTTAACAGACACACTAAAAAAAGGTTTTGAGAGGAGCCAATCATTCCCTGCAGTACATTTTCAAAGGGAGCATTACAATTATTCTAAGCGCATACAAATTGCAAGTCAGGTTACATATAATAACGCATTTGCCAAGACCAAAAGTATACGCTCTACAATTAGCCTGAAAAACTGTTTTTGTGAGAAAACAAACTGAGGGGAAAACGGATGATTTTGTCCCAGAATCTAGTGTTTTAATATCTTTTACTGTCCTGTTGGGGGTAAACACCCCCTCTAAAGAAGAGTGACCTTTAAAGAAACACAAGGCCTCAAAAGCACATCCCAATTTGTCAGAGAAGACGCATAAAACATGTTCTTTGTGTGTCCACTCCACTAACTTGTTAGTGTAAGCCTTCCCATTCAATCACTTCCCTAAATACACAAAACATCTGGTCACCCAACCTTCTGTAACAAAAAAACCAAGCTGCCACTGTGTGCAAGGATCACTGTAGAAATTCACAAATCCGAGCAGCACTCTGGTCATCCTGACATTACACCGCTGGGTCCTATCACTGGGCGTCCAGTGTCCTCAACTGCTGACCTTTGATTCAAACTTTTTCTCCCCCATGTCATGCTCTACCCTAAAAAGTGCCATCTACTGGTCAGCGATACAAAATCAAGGGAATGAGGGGGTACCCTCTCCCCCCAGCTCGCACAGACCTTGCATCTGCTATTCTCCCAGGGGTTCAAACAGACCAGGGAGGAGCTTAGGGGGGGATTCAGCCCAAAATCTACCCATACCGCAGAAGCCCCCTGGTTGAAACCGAAGCAGGTGCTTCAGAAACTGGGGTAGGAAATGAGAAAGGAGGTGGCCCTTCATTGACGCAGGAGCATGCATGACGTAAATGGGCTGATTGATCTGCTTAATTAGTGTTTGTTAATGCACCGGACTGACGGTTTAAAGTGGTCTTTAAAGGCCGGCACTCCACAGCTACGCAGGAGCTGTCGGGCAGGCCTCTGGTGACGGTCAAGTACACCAGCGCTCCCCAAAAGATAAAAGGGGGTCTGTCTGCTCTACGGGCCTGTGTAGTGTACAATTTCTGGTCGGCAGATACATACCGAAAAATAGGAAATTCAAAAAAGAATTAAAATAGTCATTCTAAGAACAAGAGAGTGATAGATAGCTACCCCCCTACTCCCCAGTGTATCTCCCTCCCCTAAAATTAATGCACCTGTGACACGGATAAGACCCCCCAAAGAAATCGTAACCGGTGTTTAATGGGAAATTCTGTCTGATGCAAGCTTTGAAATGCGCACAGCTCTTGAAAAGTCCTGGGCAATGACGCAATCATCCTGGATAAACCGGTGCTGAACGTCACACTATCAGGTGATAAAGAAAATCTGAGCACCCTGCTGCACCATATCCGGGACTTAAAGTCTCTTTAAAAACTCCCAACGGTATTGAAAGGGTTCCAGTCCTTCTCCCTGCTCTCGGCCATCAGAGCAGAGCCTTACTTTAGACACACTGGGGCTCCTACGCACCTCCCTGCAGACAGACCAGCTCCGCACCGCCAATTCAGGGAGAGGGAACCCGTACAGAAGAAGCTTTCAGGAGAGGAAAAACTCACAATCTGAAACCCACTGCCTGACACGCCCACCCCGCAGATCAGTCGGGCCTCCTCTAGGACCTATGCTTCCGGGAACATCTGTTTCCCCCATCGGGAACTCGGAACTCGTCCTGTCGCACCCCCGAGAGTCGCCAGCGGGTGGACTCACAGACCTGAGAGAGGCGTGGTCGGCCAGCGCCTTTACTGTAAGTCCGAGCCGGGCCAGTGGCTGGGGCAAGGGGCCGACTTGCTCCGAGAAAGCTGTAGTGTCGGGCTTTTTTTTTTTTTAGCACCACGTCTCAAAATGGGGGGGGGGTGGGGGGGGAACGGATAACACAACTGGGGTGCCCCGCCCATCCACCTGACCATCTGGAGATCATTGCTGTATCCTCCACCCCCCAACTCTCTCGTCGCCCCCGACTCTCAGAACCCCCACCACTGTGGTGGTGGTGGGGGGAAATAAAACTAAAAACAAAAGACGAGGGGGGCTGCAGAGGGGCTGGCACTCGTCGGGGGGAGAGCATGTGCTTTTTGCCTACCTTTCCGAGCCCGCGCCTCCCCCCCCGCCCCGCCCCCCGGCCCGCTCACGTCTCGAACTGCGTCAGCAGGGCCCGCACCTCGGGGGTGAGCTGTTTGGCAGCCTTGGCCGCCTCGGTGATGGCTTTACGGTACAGCCCCTTCCTCTTCTTGTTAAAGCGCGACTGGAAGTTTTCGAGGAAGGGGGAGAGCTGAGAAAGTGCCAGGAAAGAGGTGGTGGGCGACCCGAACCAGGAAATCCGGGCCTCCTGCCGCACCAGGAGCCCGTTATCTTTGCGGCTCACGGTTATGGCCAGGATGCGCGCCGGCCACCAGGGGAAGCCGTAAATTTTGGCCCAGACGATGTCCCCTACGCATATGGTCCTGCCGTCCGGGGTCACGCACTTCGAGACGTTTTTGGAAAAGACCGTCGCTTTCAGGGAATTGCTGAGCTTTTTGTCCTCCTTGGAGGCCGAAGAGGAGGAGCAAGTGGAGGAGGAGGAGGAGGAGGAGGAGGAGGTGGTGTTGGGGGCGGTGGAGGAGGTGCTGGGCGCGGAGGGGGCGTGGAACGCCCCAGGCGGGGGGAAGTCAAAGGTTTCGGTGGAGCTGCACTCCGAGTTGGAGGACTTAAGGTCGTCGGCGCTGTCGACGCTGCACACGGACGCGTCGGACGAGTCCGGCTTGCCCGGGGTCAGCGCCACGAAGGCCGGGAGGTCGGCCGCCTTGCCCCCCCGCCTCTCGCGCCTGTCCCCCCCCCGCTCCTCGGGAGCCACCGTGTCCTTGTTCTCCTCGGCCGGCTCGGGATGGGGCAGGGGCAGGGGCTCGGGCTCGGACTGGGGCCGGGGGTCCGTTCTGGGCTGGGGCTCGGGCCCCCGGGCCGGGCCCTGGCTTTCGGAGGAGGCGCCGGCCTCGCCCGCCGGGACGAGGGAGGAGGAGGAGCGAGTGGAGGGGCAGCGGGGGACCGGCTGGGCCGCCTTGGGCGCCCCTCTACAGCCGCCGCCCTGCACTCTCTCCAGGGCCGGCTTACAAGAGGAAGAGTCGTTCTCTTCGTTACGGTACCTTTGGGGCTTGAGGCGGATCCGGGGCGGCAGGGGGGCGGCGTTCCCCGCGCCGCCGCCGCCCCCCCCGCT